GTACAAGCCATGGTCCTCTGAAAGGCAAGAACCAGTGCACCCCTGAAAGTTTCTATCTTATGAATCCTCTAAAGTAGTCATAACTCTTTTATGCTATGTGCATGTTTTTTCTGTAATAGCTACTTGAGTTGTGTTATCTGTCTATTAAATATAAAATAAATGATCATACCCTCTTTGTGCCTATTCTGCCTTTGGCCACTCCTGATACAGAGTATTTACTGTCTTTTTTTCTTTTTTTTTTTAAACAAAATTGGATTTAACACAAATCAATATAGATTTCATTGGCATTTTAATGCTAAATTTTATTGCACTATTTTGAAATGCACACACATACATGCAAAAAAAGTGCTATGGTAATAGTTGGTGGAATACCCTGAGAAGGAAACTGGTGAATAGGGAGGTACAGTGATTTTTTTTTCTCCTTGAAACTTTCTTCCTTTGGTTCCTATGGCTATAGTAGTCAGCTGCTATGTGGGGGTGGGGGGAAGAGAGAGACTCTCTGGTTTTGCTTTATAGAGCTCCCCCCCAGACTTCTGTAAATCTGTACAGAGCAAGGTTTAGGACATAAGAAAATAATTTTGTTTGTTTGTTGGGAGATTTTTTTAGGTAGAGAAATGTCCAAATGTATACTCATTTAAAAGTTTAATAAAATCGTATGCTCAAAAAGTTATACTATCTAGACTAGTACAATCTGTAATTTATTTATTGCTTAATGGTTTATAGTAATTTTGCCTTCAAAAGAAGGTTGAATTTGAAATTTTATTAAAACTTCCCTTCCTTTGAATTTATAGATGGGGCAGCCGTTTTTATCCAGTTGCCACATAGAATTAGTATTTACTGGACAAGATGTGTTGATTCAGGAGGCTGTCTGTGGAGTGTTTGCCCCATGAGGGTCATATTAAACTTGAGAGAAGCTTTTTGAGCAACATGGCATCTTAGAGCCAATATATCAAGCTGATAGATACAGGGCTCTTCTGTTAAGAAACCAGGGGTGGAATTATGGCTAGCTCCCAGTTATTGCTTCAGTGCTAAGGGGCCTCTGAGGAGTAGAACTAGGATAAAAGGGGTTAAACAGAGGGGAAAGAAAGGTTTCCAGATTCAGCCTTACTGAAAGCACACAGAATAAGTAGATATAAGGAATTTAAGATGTCATTTGTTCGGAAATTTGCAATTTTATATGAGCAAATCATGACCAATTTAATGAGCATATTATTTTGTTATTGTTCCGAGAGCATACATGAGACTTAAATTATTATGAAACCCACTGTGGGGTTCTCTTGTATAGTTTCTCAATAGAACAGTAGTGTAGGGATTTTTTTTAACACATGAAGGTATTTGTGTGCATATTAAGAACTGTAATTTTTTTGATGTTAATGATCATTCAGAATTTAGATTATCAATGATATACTCCTTGATGTAGAAAAATTGGACAGAATAATAACCCAAGTGAGGGGCATAATTTCATATGCTATATGCAAATTACCTATGTTTTTTAAGTGCTCAGTTTATATGTGTGTACTTGGTACAAATGAACTAATGAATATACATCAACTACAAAATCAGTATGATTTTAAAAATGTATGTTCATAGATAAAATATCAATTAAAAAGTCTTTAGCATTGAATGTCCTCCAAACTGAACATTCAGAGCTAAGCTATTTGTTAGTTGGCCAATATTGCAGTAATGCAATCTTGTTGCATTTCCTGGTCATGCCATATTTTTACTTCAAAGAACTATTTCGTCTCTTTCCAAGTATCCAATTCATCCTCACACTTTGGCCCTAAGCTGATGGCTTTGTTTTTAATTTTATCACTGAAAAAAATGGGCATCATCAGAGTCTTTACTATTTTCCCATCACTGATTCTGCCCAGTGCCCTGCATCTTGGTCTTTGCATTCACTTCTGCACAATTGGTGAATACCCTGCTCTTTGCAACAGCCAGCAGCTCTGGCTCTCCATTCAATTTGCATGTGCCCTGGACTGTCTCTCTGTCTCCACACAAGGACTTTGCTGTGGAAATTATTCCTTCTTCTCCTGTATTGATATCCCACTCCCATTTCTTACTGGATTCTTCCAATAGTCATGAAAATAAGTCACACCTTTTTTGATACCAGGTATTTCTCTAGCTGTTACCCCATTTTCTACTTTACAATGAATCATCTCAAAAAAATTGCCTAAGCTCACTATATGTGCTCATTGCCCCTCATCTCACCCTTCTCTGGTCACACTGCCATGCCTACATCTGCACTGCATCCATTCTTGGTAAGGTCATCAGACAACTCCACTTCTCCAAATACTGAGTTTAACTCCCAGTGTTCTTTTCCTTAAATTCTCAGTACATTTAACAGTACAGTTTCAGTCCTTCCTTTTCCATACACTTTCCTTCGTTGACTTTCCATATCCACCTTCTCTTAGTTTTTCTCCCAACCCACTAATCACTCCTCAGACTCTCATACAAAGAGGCTACACCTAAAATTTCGGTGGATTTCTGGACTCAGGTTTCTGACCTCCTCTGTACAACTGCTATCTTTACTCACTTTCTAGTTTATTTCATCAAGTCTCACCCTTTAAATATTACAAATGCATTGGCCCAAACTTCTACCTTACATCTGCAACCTATATCTGCAACTTATTCCCTGATATCTCCACAAAAGAGTACCATTCAAAATCCCTCTTAAGTATTACACGGACAAAATAAAACTCAGTCCTCTCCATAACCTGTTAGTCCACTCAGTGTTTCTCATTCGGGAATGACACCTGAGTGTTGGGTGAAACATTAGGATTGCTTTGACTTCCTTATATTCTATTAACAATACACTCCCTATTTAAAGGCAAAATATTTTGCCACTTCCACTTCTCATTCATATCTAAGCTACTGTTATCTGTTGCCTGGGTTCTTACAGTAGTAATGCCCCTATTTCCACTCTTGCCCCTTGTCCCCATTTGCATGAAGTCCTATAATGCTGATGATGGTGATGATAATATTAGACAACTAATAATTTCAGGAGCCCCAAAAATAAGGTGCTATATGTACATGTCCTCTGCTCTTCACAACTATCCAATAAGTGAAAAACAAAGTTTAGGTTTTCATAGTTGTCCTTTACCACATTCTGCAAAGGCTACCAGCACCATTTAGAATGAAATCCAAAGCTCTTACTGTGCCTTTCACTGTCGCTGAGGACCTGCCTTTCCCTCCAAGCTCTTTATCTTTCCCTTTGCCTCTCCTTCCTCAGCCTGCTTCAGCCACACTAGCCTTTCTGCTGTTTAGTGAACACAACTCCAGCTTTCCCCTCCTCATTGCCTCTGAGTTCCCTGTTCTCTGGCCGGATTGTTCTTCCTTTAGCCATTCAGGGCCATCTCTCTCATGTCATTGAGGTCTCTGCTCAAATATCACCTGATTCTTCCTATAATCTCCCTATCTGATCCAAACTGTCATCTGATAACTAAAATTGGACATCCTTTCATTCCTTTTCACTTTCTCTTCTCTTACTGTTTTTGTTGTAATTTCTAGGTACATACCACATCTTGCATCCCTTTGTATCTTTTTTATTGCCTTCTCCTTTCACTTAAGTATAAGCTCCATGGGGCAGGGGTGGTATCTATTTTACTCAGTGCTGTTTTCCCTCCATGTAGAGAACACTACTTAGGACAGAGTGGTGTTTCAATAAATGCACATTGAACACATGAACCAATTATCAGTGTACTCAAAACTCTTACAGAAGACTGGTGAAACACATAATCTAATGTTTCCATTTTCATCACTGGCCATTCATTAGCCCCATGGTTCATAGGCATGTTCTCCTGAATTACAGAGCATGTAAAATCCACAGCCTACACAAAATTACCTAAAAGAAAGTTGGAAATTCATCTTAATATTTCATTTTTCATCTTTTCTCCTTTCTTTTTCACCAATGACTTTTAGTAATCTATTGTTACAAAGAGCTTATATTATATTAGAATTCCTAAAAAATTACATTATAGTAATGATTAAGTTATACTAATGCTAATGGAAGTTCAGATAAGTCCTATGTGGCAATAAGAAGAAGAATAGACAACTAATAGTTTACAGAGCCCCCAAAATAAGGTGTTCTATTTACATGTCCTCTGCTCTTCACAACTATCCTATAATGGAAAAAAATGCAATTACTTTAAGGATCAGAAAACAAACATAGGCTCAGAGTTAGTAGGTGATTTTCCTATAGCCACAAGAGCTTTGTTTAATTTGCTTTGAAGTTACTGACTAGCTTTGGAACAAATGTTGATATAAGTTCACTCAGGTTACAGTTGTTAGAAAAATTAGTTAAATAACCAGATCTTTAGTAGATTAGGCTTTAGTTTCACTCATTCTTGCTAGGCCTTCTAGAACCATCAAAACCTATTTGAGTCAGAGCAGGAGCACTGTGAAAAAGAATAACTGACTAACACACATGAAGAAAATTAGTTTTCATATTTTCTTGGATGAGAATTAAAGCTAGAATATACTATATTTATCATTAGAAAAACACAATTTTAGCAAACTCTCCTTCCTCCAAAACAGGACAAGGAGAAAAAAAAAGGCCACTGTGTTTAGGTATAGTGGCTTGATTCAGGTAACAATGGGTGGCACGAGTGGGAGGAATGTAAGACCCAGACTGCTTCAGTGTTCCATTGCTTGGTCTGTTGGGTAAAGAGTTAAAAAGGTATTCTAACATTTGCTTCACTAAATTCCCTCCATGCTTTCAATTAGATAAACAAAAGTACAGGTGGGAATGTGCTGCAAGTTCATTTGTCTTGCTGTTTGGGGGCTGGCTTTTAAGGCTGAAATAGTAATGTAATTGTGTTGAGATGAACAATAAGGAAGTACAGTAGTTCAGGAATGAAAATGTTAAATTCAATGGGCCATGTTTAACATCGCTGTTGATCCTGAGGAACAGTTTTTCCAGTATATGGAGCATTTCCACTCCATCCAGCATATGTTCTCCACAGTTTTCTCTGCTCTAATTCATCTGTGTTTTTCGACAGCTCCAGATGGCGTGCTGCCTCCCAGGCTTTCATCTGCCACTCCAACCAGTCTTCAGGTTGTCTGGTCTATACCAGCTCGTAACAACGCTCCAGGCTCTCCCAGATACCAACTCCAGATGAGACCTGCCTACTCCAACCACACCTTTCTAGAGTGAGCATTCTCTGTTGTGCATCTTCCTATCAGCTGTGTTATAGGGTGCAACATAAGCATTTTGAAGACTGGGTCAGGTCTCATTTGCAATAAATACAGATTATCTTCTAAAACTTGAAACAAATAAAAAACAAGCAAACAACCTACTGGATTCTAATTTGTTTTTCAAAAATATCTGCTTTTCATACATAGCATTGAAAGTAAGATTTCTTCATATTAAGTCTTTTATGAACATAGGTATTGCACAAAGCCAGGATACACATGAAACTAACAAACTGTGATTTGGACTATGTTGAGAAAATTGTAGTAGGTATTTCAATTTGTTCTAAACATCTGACATGGAAATCAGTCTCAATGCCACTAGGACTTTTTTTTTTTAATGCAATGGTACAAATCCTCAGCTAATGGCCACTTATTTTGAAAGACATATCATTTGATGGCACAGAATAACAATACTTAAATGTATGCTTCATTCTCTGAAAATGTTATGTAGTAAGATTTTACTTACTTTTTATATCTTTGAATGTCTAGAGCTTCCTAATTAGCATTTCTTTCCAATATAGATTATTTCCCAATCCTTCTGCGTCGTTAAACTATGAAGTGAGAGATCTTCAACCATACACAGAGTACGAGTTTTGGTTGGTTGCCTCCAATGGATTTGGCAGTGCACACAGTTCTTGGATACCATTCATGACTGCAGAGGACAGTAAGTAGTCTAAATAATGCAAAACCAAATATCTTCTACACGAGGGAGTCTTGAATGTCTTTAATTTTTCCAAAGCAAGGAAATGAACCTCTCCTATTTTCTTGTTAGTAAATGACAATAATCTTTTCCAGGGCAAGAGAGGGGACCTAGGTGGTCAGTCCCTCAGAAGAAAGAAAAATGTGTGCTTGGGATGTTGGAAGATTAGGCCTACTCACAAGAAGTAATTCAAAATAAATTGTGATATGGTCCTGTTCTATCCTTCAAAGTTCACTTAGGCATCCTGAAAAAGAAAGGTTGTCATTTTTTGCCCTATGACTGCATATTCTCTGGCAGGCAGAACAAAATGAAATATAAACATTAGGTCAGAAGAATGCTTATAACATCCATATACTCACTCTTGAAAGACGATCCATTCTACTTTTATTCACTCCCAAAATAATAGCATCCAGGATAGAGAAGGAGAATCTGATCATAGTGATTCTGCATTGGTTGATTGCCTTACTCAAGCAATGGAGAATTTTCTAGATTTTCATTAAAGTTACATTTGTGTATGTATGTGTGTGTGTGTGTGTGTGTGTTTACTAAGTTATATTTTAGGAAATAATACATGGATATAACATTTGGTTTTATATAAATTGAGTCTATAAAAGCATATATATTAAGAGAAAACTAATATTTTTAGGAAAGTTGGAAATTAAATCAAACCACACAGAGTGAATGAGGACACTGTATCTTTGAACAATGAGGTATTTAGGGTTAATCTTGTCAAGTCTTTTAATCACAGGCTTCTTAGAAGATGTTGCTCTGTTGGCCAATTGCCATTCTGGCTTTATATCCAATAAGAACCTGAGTGACTTTCAGAAGGCTGGAAATTAGTGCAGAAGTATAGTGTTTGAGACAATATCAATTATACATTAAGTAGATTGTTTTTATTTTTATAATATCTTTAATTGTATTACTTTAATGATGATAAAAACATAAAATGAGAGCAAACTAGAACAAAGTACTATCTTTAAAGTTTATTTCATTTAAAAAGCACCATTATGAAAAATAACATAAAATATTTAATCCATTTCTCTCAACTCCTAACTACTTCCTGGGAGCAAGTTAGGTTGTTTACAAGGGCACATCCAGTATTTTTGGTCTTAGAGTAGCATTTAGTAAATTACCAGTACAGCACAATGAAAGATACCTAGGACCTAGGGAGCACTAGGGTAAATGTTATACATAGGCTGAGAATCAGATATCAAGGCCACCAATAGTGTTCAGACTTCTGTATAGAGAGCTCACCTCAAAATAGATTTTTGAAGAGTAATTTTCTTAGGAAAAAAAAAAACAACTGAAGGTAGATTTTTGATCTCTTTCTTAGATACAGCTTCATGCTTAAAGGCCCTCAATAAAGGTTAACTGAAAATAATTATTCAGCCCATTGCAGAGGTGATGGCTTAATAGAATGCCAGGTTGGCACTACATTTGTATTCCCCCAGGGAAAGAACAAGACTCAGATTTCCTTACTGGTAATCTGCCTGCAATCTTTACCAAATCAGGACCATGACTTTCTATCCACAGGCAGGACAGTACCACTTAGATAAACAAAGTTCAAAATATTGCAAATTACAAATTAGCACATCACCCTCCATTGAACAAAGTTACTTCTTGTCTCCTCTTATATAAAACAAGTCTTACAGATTGTATGTGGTTAGAATTTTCATGTAGAGACCCTGCCATTTTTGTGATATTTAGGGACTGTGTTTGGGGTGAGTGGTTAGCCCTTCATTTTCCTTAAGTAACATTTGATTATGTAGCAGTTATGAACTCAAGATACCCAGCCATCATTTTTATTTAAATACTTTCCCTGAAATGGTTGAACTGGTCCTTTCTCCACTTAGCGTGTACACTGTTAAGTCACCCACATTAGCAAAGAGTCAGAAGCTGACCATGTGCCCCTACAGGTTAAGTTCCCAGAGCATACGCTGAGACATGGTGACAGTGTACACTATATTTTGGATGTCAGTGGATATGGATGCCATGTCTGAAAGGATGTGCAATTGAGTTGACAAAGACTGAGTGATTGGCATTGGGCACAAGTAGTTTTTCTGTCAAGGCTCCAAAGCATTACTTATAAAACCACCCATGCTGACAGCTCCATGCCAGAATCACACTTCAGTCTTGATCCTGACCAGCACCTCCCTTTTGCAATTTTCAATATAGAAATTTCACATATCATATTACAGAATGATACAGAAGAGTCACCTCCTCATGCCCACATTTAAATTTCCTTCCTTCAACAGGCACCTCTCTCCACCAACCACCGCCTCAAAACTTCCCACTTCCCAAATAGGTCACCCATCGCAATATTTTTAGTGTGATCTTTCAAGACAGTGATATTTGTCAAGTTTGTGACATGGCTGAAACCAGAAAGAGAAACGTAGGCAGGAAATGAACTACAAACAGAGAAGCCAGTGCTTGGTTGCAAAGAGATATTCTCATGGACAGACAAGGGCTGCAAGGAATTTTAATAGATTTTTTTTCAAATAATTTGTCATTTACATTGGTGTGCCACCAATATCCAGTTCCATGCATTTTTAAAAATCTAGTGTGCTGGTGCCAAATAATAATAACGCACATTTCCTATGAATATTTTAAATCCTGTTAAACGTGTGTTAATAAAAGATGTTTGTTCCAGCCAACTTGGTCAGTGTAGTGTTAGAATATTTGCAACCAGAAAAATACAAACAGCACACGATTTTTTTTTTTAATGTGCTGTTGGCAGTATCAGCACATGGGAGGTATGCAGTTTGCAAAAATGGATTAAGATTGTGTTAGACTTGGGAACATACGATTAATAAAATGAAGACACCTAGCTGCTGAAAATTTTGATATTTTAAACCCAAAATAACCATCGCTCCTGACCCTCTTCCTTTTCTTTTGCATATTTACAATTGTTTTCTTAACAGTATATGAAGGTAGAAATTGTAGTTGGTGGAGAGAGCAAGTTTCTCTGAACCTCAGTTTAAATGTGGTTGTACTCTTTTGCCTACTAAGATCCTTCCTTGTGTAAAATATGAGACAATCCCACTTTCTTTAAAAATGTTGATTCCCGAGATGGAGAAAAGTCAGATAATCTGTTTCTCTCAAGGTTGTCAGGTAAGTAGATTAAAATATGAACTATCTAGTTATGTCAGTCATTTTAATGATAAACATATATGGCCTACAAAAGCAATGAGATCAACTAATGAAATTGAAATTGTTTTCTAAATATCACTTCCCTAGCTCAAAACAGTCAAATCCTGAATTAGTTGTAAATTATTTAGTTGTCAGATATTTTAAAGAATTGGATCATTTTCTCAAACTTACAGTTATATTTTTAAGTACTAATCTAAGTACTTAAATAACATTTGTAGGATTTGAACAGTTTATTTTGCGGATTTACTGGACATTTTTTCATGTGGTCATTATTTTACTAAGACTAATTATTTCACTAAGTATGACAGATGCATCATATTACTTGTACAGTGAGATTTGACTTACGATTAGCATACTATGGTTATTCTTTGCACTAAACTATATTTATACTATGAACAAAGTAATAAAGTATCCTAGTATTGGGGTCCTACTTTACTTTTCCCCTTAGCAGTCTTCATTCGTCTTTCAGATTCTTGTAGCAGTTTACAAAATAGCCCAGATTCTTCCAGAAAGACATTGCAATGTTCATTGAAATCCAAATACAATATAACAGGCTGCTTTTTCTTTTGTTGCCTGAAAAAATCTAGTCATTCATCAAGCTCAAATGTTACTTCTTCTGTGAGCCTCAATCCCATTGCTCCCTTAGATCTCTGGTGTTATTTACCTGTGCAGCATCACTATGCCCCTCTGAGTTGTAACTTCTTAAGACTGAGGGCTCTGTCTCACCTATCCTTGTATCACCAGTGTCCTAATTAGAACAAGTGCCTGGAAGAATATGACATAGAGAAGGTGCCCGAAACTTGCTACTTGAAGTATTGATTAAAAAGAGTTTGACCTAAGCAAATCCATAAAAACTCAATCAAGTACATGTTCACTGTGTATTTACTGTATATAAACCAGGGACTGAAAGGAGCATGAAAGTTATAAGGAGGAATAACAAACTAGTTTTCCTATGAAACAAGAGATGCACCTAGCAAAACCATAGATTACACAGACATGAAAGCAAGGGCATGTCCTCAAAATGGAGTATCAGGAATATCTATCTTTAGTAGAGGAAATAGGAAATTATATGTATTTGGTGTTCACATCAACATCAAGTTTCCAATTTGCTTTGTCACAATTGGTCCAGAAAAATAAGAAAGGAATCAGTGTAGGAAGTGCTCACTGACACATGAGGTTGTGGTGGAGCTCTTAGGGTATTGTCAATGGCTCCAGCCTCTGGGCATGGGACATGAGGGAGAGAATGAGAGCCAAATGCAAGGAAGGGTCATTCAAAGTGATATTCATTTTTTGCTGTGATCAGAGACAGGCAGCTGTCTATTTCAACATTCCTATGTTAATGAGTGTTCTAACCAGAGATGCCCCGAACCATGTGCCATCCAAAATGCAGGGGGTGGAAGTAGGGAGGTATAATCAGAATTGGAAAAAGATTTCCAAAAGGAAAACAATTTTTCTTGTTCTTATTCTAGCAACTTGTAGTAAGAGTTAAATACTGAATCTTGTGACAAGAAAGGGAGGTAAAAATGTGGTATGAAATTTGATGAATTGATCAAGATAAATTTCAGAGTAAATTTCTTCATATCATTGAATAAGTGCATGTGTGCCTTTAGAAGTCTTTAATTTGAAAAGAGGCAAACCTCTTTTCATTATTAGTGTAGAATTTGAGGCCTCAACCTATACCCTTGAGAGAGCGGTATGCAAAAAAAGTAGGGGCATTTTTAAATGAGGATGCAGCATATTTACATCAATTTTGTTTAATGAAGAAGTATGATTTGAGGAAGTCTATAAGCCCTGAATTCAAACCCCAGTGCCAC